AGGAAGTATGTATTAATCTATTTGAAGCATGGGAAAGAATCTGAYATTTTGGTAAGTTAAGGCCTCATAGCCAATAAATTCACATTATTGCGATGGTTAATTTTAGGTGACAATGTAAATGGTGTTTTGGATGAGAGTAACATTTAAAGCAATGAAATCTGAGTAGACTGCCCTCCATAATGGGATTGGGCATCATCGAGTCAGCTGAAGGCCTGAAAGGAACAGAAACACCAGCTTCTCTGGGCAAGAATTCTTCAGCAGACTGTCTTTTTCTTCATCTTACCATTGGCTCCCTTGCCTGCCTTAAGAGTGGAATCATATCATCTCCTCTCAAGTTTTCAGCCACTCAGCCCACTCTGCAAATGTGAACTTGCCAGCCTCCATAATGGCATGAGCCAATTTCATATAATCACACACACACACACACACACACACACACACACACACACACACACTCTCTCTCTCTCTCTCTCCCTCCCTCCCTCCCTGACCCTAAAACTCCCAAATAATAATATCAAGTCCAACCCAGATATCCATATGAATTCCATACCAAGTGAAAAATATATTCCCTACCAAGTGAATAAATTTCATAGACTTTCAAAAGCAAAGGAACTCATCCAAGACATGGAGCACGAGGCTTTGGGCCTTTGCTAAAGAATTCAGCTTTSTATCCAATTTGAATGGGTAACCTTAACAAGATTCTAATCTCCTACCCTCAGTAACTTGTCCATTGCTAGGAAGATATTCAGGAAATTTTTATCTTGGAAATTCAAAGGTCTACCAGACATTGACCCTATTCATCAAATCTTAATAATGTTTTACTTCTCAAACTAAATCAGTTGCAGGTAACTAACATAACTGATAAATTCACTGAACTTTTACTTGGCATAAATGCTGGAGCTAGGTATTATAGGGCATCTATTCTTGAGGTGCTTGAAATCACAAGGAAGTATAAAGGTTAAAGCAAGACAAAATCATTCTACAAATAAAAATAATAGAAACAAATATGATAAAGAATCAAAAAGGCAGATAACTCTACATCTGGTCTGGAAAAGCCATATGAAACAATAGGACTTTCAAGTTCCCATGGTCCATATGGACAGGCAAAGGAGAGAGGAGCACAAGTAAGGAGAGGGTATCTGCAAGGTCAGTCAACAAAGTGGGAAAGGACAAAAGTGACTGTGGATCAGTGAACAGAAATCACCAATATGGAGCCCATGTCTCAATAGAGTCTACATATAAYCCATTCCTAATATAAAAAAAATTAAAAGAGATCTCTTCTCAACATAATGACTAATAAGATGTCACATAAACATGGAATTATTTTAACAAAATTCAATTGCATTTGTTGACATAACATGTGAAACTTATTACCTTAGACATAAGTATTTACTTATTTTTTTTAATTCCACATACCAAATTGTTTCACAATAACCAATACTGAGGAGAAGTAAATTTTGCCTTGCAGATTCTAGAATAAGACAATATGAGTTTATTCCTGCTCCAARATTTAGAGCATCCTAAATTTAATTCTTTTTTCTCCTGTTTTACAGAGGATAATAATACTAAGCCACAGACATAATAAAGATAAAATAACATAATGTACATAAAGAGCTTAGCACAAAAGGGAAAATCACAACAGATAAATGAATGTCAGTCATTAACGGCACTGTAATGTTACAAGCAATGTTCAAAACATGCAAGGGGTAACTAACTTCTTTTCTATGAGCCTGAATAAATCATATGTTACTCTAGACAACAATAATATACCTCATTCAAGAGAAAGACAGAGAGAAAAAAAAAAGATAACAAATCCACCACAGGTAACTTTCCTGTGGTTTAAAGAGGATAAACCATGTTTTCTTCCAAAATCAACCCCAAGGAATGAGAATTGGGAATTAAGACACAGATTTATTGTAAAATCATTGATATATTTGCCCCTCTCGCTAGGTTGGAGGGGTATAATTTAGGATTTCACTAACCTAGCCTCCAAAATAAAAGAAAACCAATAAAAAGAGTAAAGTTTTAACWTGGAGTTTTTCTTGAGTTCCACTATGTGTCAAGCATTGGCAATATTTTAAGTTCATGAAAAAGACTTTTGCCAGAAAAAGGTACAAAGAAAGGCAAAGATTCAGCCTCCACCAACATTAAATATTTTATAATTCAAAATGTTTTTGTATAGCCAGAGTTTAAAGAGAGACACAAATATAAAAGGACATATAAATTAAGAAGCAAAACTCTTTGTTGTAATTTAAAACTATGCTTTTGATTTAGTTTGGAAAACTTCTATTAGGAAAAAAGAGGTTTCCATTTACAATCAGAAGCCAGATACACACACATGTGCACCCTACTTATTTCTTTATCACAACTCCCTGTTACTCCGACATGCTATTAAGAACACAAAGGCTGGTGGATTGAACTGGCCCTTGAATCTCTTTTTCTTTTTGGTACCAGAGATTGAACCCGTAAGCACCTTACCATTGAACTACATTCCCAGCCCTTTGCATTTTGTTATTTTCAGGCAGGGTCTAAATTGCTGAGTGTCTCCCTAAATTAYTAAGGCTGGCCTTAAACTTGTGATCCTCCTGCCTCAGACTCCTGATTCATTGGGATTACAGGATTCTTTGCAACCATACCTGGTGGTCCTCATATTTTAAGGAAGGATCACAGGGAGGATCTTTGTAAGATTCCAAATATTCAGATACTCAGAAAAAACTGAGTCTGCCAAATTTTCAATATCATATGGCAAATCATCAGTTTCCTCAACAGGACTGACTACATGTTTTACACCATTATTTCCTATCTTAGAATGTTAGAGATGTTAAAATATGTTGATTATGTGGGAAGTCATTCTATTTCCCAAAAAGTTCTATGCTGCTAAGATAGAACCACAAAGGAATGGCACTTCACACAAGGATCACAATGGAAATACTTAAGTCTTTAGCTTGCAACTGTTTTAGGATGTAGTTATTGATATACTGAAAAAAAGTGCATATATCTATCTATATACATATCTATATACATAGATAGATAGATCATTTTCTCTTGACACACGTGTAATCACATCCTGATAAACTCATTCTAATTTAAAATATCATCAGTCAAAAAATGCAATTAATACACCTAATCTACTACACATCATAACTTATTCTAGCCTACTTTAAATGTGTTCAAAATATTTACAATACCCTATATTTGGGCAAAGTCATCTTTAACACAAGACCTATTACATAAAATGTGCTGAATACTCCTGTAACTTATTGAATAATATGCTGAAAGTGAAAAAATGAATCGTTGGCACAGGTATGTTTTTTGCACGATTGTTAAATTGAAAAATACTAAGAACTCTCATAGGTGGTGTGTGTGTGTGTGTGTGTGTGTGTGTGTGTAATTTGTCAATTCATCATCCTTAGACAGGCATTCATTACACAAAGAAATTTTCATATACTTTCTTTCAAAAAAATGTCTAATACTTTTTTAGGTTAAAATTTATATGGAAGTGGGATTTACTTTCATGTACACCAAGAGGAAGAAATCTAACTTTTCAAAGTGAAAGGCAAGCTGGAGGTGTAGCTAAGTGGTAGAGCACGTGCTTAGCAGATACAAGGCTCTGGGTTCAATTTCCAGCACCAAAAAAGAAAATATTTAATTTTACAAAGTGACTGGCCAACTGTTATAAACACTAAGTAACACATATTTTACCACTAAAAGATGAAATGCCATCTTTAAGATACATGCACATCATATACATACCATGTTTGTTTTCATAATTGCCAATCTGTTTGAAATGATCTACTTGTATATTCCTATAGTGATACAAAGCTGATTTAAATCCTTGGCTTTATATTATACTCTGCCACAATTCTGTCTTTTCAAATAATATAAATTAATCTCATACTCCATTTTAGTCTTTATAAGCAATCTGTTCAATTTCCTCTCATCCCTAGCCTACATTCCCAATAGGCAATTACCACTATGGTTTTGACCTATTTGTTTCACAAACAAAAATGTAAGTCTATTACTTTTACAACCCAAATTTATCAATGTGTAATATTCTCAATGTGCTTTAGTGATTTAACTCTGAAGGTTGATTGTCATCCATTTTTAGAATAATTAAATATTCAAAAATAACATTCCATTTGTTTATTAATTCAAAGTTCCCTGCTTATAAATTTATACAAAATGTCAAACCTATTAATTACATTACTCAAATTCTTTAAAGTCTCACTTTTTTGCCTTATTTAACATGACAACTTTTGGAAAGATACGTTACCCTCTATTGATATGGTTTTGTTCAATTTTATATATATAACAGTTTGACAAAGATATATGGTTATGCTATGTTGTTTGATATAAAAAAGATCCTGATTGTTAGAATTTCTACACAATAATATTATATCTCAATATAATACTTCCTCTCTATTTGCCCCATGTACGTTATGGCAGAGACTTTACAGGACAATCCCAGCATTTCTGTGCTAGTGCTTCCTGCCAGCCTGAATCAGAATCCATCTTCTAAACATGACACAACTACATTTTCATTTTAATCTGAGTTGTCAGTACTTGAATTTTATTAAGAGAAATTTCCCCCTTTATAGTTATTATGACAACTGTGTTTAGCCCAATTGCTGACATATCATTTCAAATTTTATTCCTTAAATACATTTTTATTTTATTCACTTAGTTTTGCTTTACTCTAGCTTATTTTTTTCAAGTTTTTTACCTTTTTTCCCATTTGATAGCAATACTTTGCATATCTATCCAACTACTAACCTCACCAAGTTGTAATGAGTAATAGGAAAGTAATCTCTCTTTTTTATTCCTATCTGACCAAAAATAATCTAAAGTATCCTCTATATAGGGTAGTAACCATGAATCATTTAAAAATAAGACCACTTTGGGAAAAAGGCAGGACAAGTTACTTCATGTTTAATTAGTAAGAAGTTAGTTCCATTTATCTTTCCAACATCTCTGCATCCTGCAAAAGACAAAGCTCTTACCGTTTCTTTTGGAATCTGCATCTGGCTTGGCTCTGCATTCTAGAAGAATCGAAGAAAAATATAAATACAGACTGACCAAAGCCATCTTCAACACACAGGGACACAAAGTTTTATTTTAATGGAAATTTTGCTGGTTCTTAAAATCTACCAACTAGATGAAGGGTGATTATATTATGGTTGATGGATTTCTCTGTCTCCCAAACTTTCATTGATATGTGTGGTGTTTGTGTGGGGGTTTTCAGAAACTTTTCTAAATATAACTTTTACTTGGTCATTCATAGAACATCATAAATGTATTACTTGCAGGAAAACAAATCTCACCAAAGTTCTTTCCTAATCATGGCACCGTTTCTAATTTTGGTTTTTAATTTTTTTCAACCAAATCTAGGTTTTAAGGTATTGGATCATTTCATAACTAGATAGATAAATCAGTCTGAACCACAGTCTGAACCACAACTTCATACTTTAAAATATTACACAGGGAATAAACACACTATTCTTTTCATCTAATATAGAGTACTTACAAGGTTGGTTCTTGGGGTAATATTTTCATTTATTTATTTTTTAAGGGCACAAACTAATACAAGTATTCAGACTAAGACCCGTAGAAGTGAAACACAGAAATCCTSAACAGAGGAAAAGAGTTGCACTGATTGGATTCAAAGATCAGCATTAAATGCACCCACCCACCCTTTAACTTAAGTTTTCAGAATTTTATTCTTTTAAATTGTGAAAGGCAGCTGCAACATACATAATGGACTGACTGAGGGCCTACTGGCTCGTTCCTTAATGAAAAGCTCACAAGCAATAAATTAAATAACCAAGGGGGGAAAAAAAAAACAACAAGAGGCAGCAGACGGGAAAAACAGAAGCCTGAAAGATCAAAATTGGACCAGAAGAACCTAAATAACCTTGGGCTGTCTATACGTTGGCACTCACTCTGAGAAGGCTGCTGAAGAGCAGTGTGGAAGCTTTGGCAATCTAATGATRCTAACTATCATGGCTTGGATACACCCAGGAAGAATTAAAGCTTCATCAAATCACATGGAAAGCTTAGTTGTTGTTTTGGTAAGTGCTCATTTACAATTTAATAGAGACATCTCCAGATTTAGGATCAGGTGGCATTTTAAGCACAAAATTGGATAACAGTGGGGGGAAAATGGAAAACTGAATTTAAATTGAGGAATAATGCATTAAACATTTTTAAATATAAAGAAGCTTTCATAATTTATTCAAAATCAACCTAAAACACAAGTGTTCACTTTTCAACCCCTATCACCATATGAAATTTCCACAAAAATCACAGAGAGTGTTAGGATCAAGGGATGCTAAATTAATGACTGAAAAGAAACTCTATTTTAAATAACTATTTATATGAATATATGTAATTCATATGGAAAACAAAAATATTTATTGATAATCAAAGAAAAATTTTGTCAACAATGATGCAACCACACATGAGTTATTATCTAAGAGAATTAGGTCTATATGATCAATTTGGAAACTGTACCTTAAAACCTTGCCAAATTTATACATAGTAATCTACCTTTAGATGAAATAACAAGCTAGCTGAAAAAGATGTCAAATATTCTTACCAGGTACAAACTGYTTTGAAACATTTAAAATACCACTTATGTTTGAAATAAAGCAATTTTCTCACCACATAAAAAGAAAAGGCAATTTCTCCAATTATATCATTTTATATATAACTGAAACATTGTACTTTTTGAAGAAGAAACATTCAGAACAATGTATATTTAATATATGGATTTCATTCATACCAATGCCATGTAAGTGTTTCTAATAGTTGAACTTCTTGATGTAAGCAGTGAAAAGTAAAGTAGATTTGTTCCAAACAAATGACTTTTTATTTCATTTATGTCATTACAAACAATGTGATCTTTTTGGTCAATAATAGCCCTGGAACTTATTGACAGCTAGGTCTTCTTATTTTCAGTAATTTTTTTCAAGAAACTCCTTTTCATATGTGACCATCTACATTTGGCTAAGCTACTAAGAAAATATGAAATTTTGTCATGTGCCGGGGAGAAGATGGCAAGCTTTTGATGACAGCCTTTGGAGTGACAGTTATGAGATCACTGATGTCTTTATTCAACTGGTTCATCTGAAAGTGAATAATGATAAATATTTGATGTCCTAGAAAATACCCCTACAATCTGTTTTTAAATATCCTAATGTTCACTATTGTGGATATCCATTTCCAAGTCAGAGTAGGGAAGGCAACAAAATGCTTATATTAAGTTAGGATAGAAAGAAATATAAAATAAAGAAATTCCTTGAAACTGTCTCCATAAACATTCACCATCAGGTAGCTAACCCAGATCCCTGGCTCATGTACATCAGAAATCTTTCATGTGTTCTAAATTTACACACCAGTTCCCTTGGGTGAAAGGCGTCTTCCTGGCGAAAGACCAGAAGGCTCACAGTCCCTTCCATCTTGGTGCTTCTTAACAGGGAAACAACTTCCTCTTGGGATTTGCCTGCTAAATCTACTCCATTTACCTAAAAACAAATAAAAAATTTTCAGTTGCAATTCTGTACAGATTGTTAACAGAAGACACATGTTCTAGAATTGACCATATTTGGTATAAAATATAACTCATTTCATGCTAAATTCTGCCATGACCTGGTTACCACTAAGCTTCTATGATTGAAAAAAAAAAAAAAAAAAAAAAACCTAGGCCAGATATCTAGAAGAATGCTAGGAAGTAATGAATCTTTTAGTGCACATCAATAAAACAAAAGCTGCAAGCACTAGGAATTAACAAGTAACAAGTAATAAACGAAAACATCTAAAATGCCAAGTCAATACAAATCTTGACTTTGAACTGATTTTTTTTAAAGAATAGAAGTGGTTGTTTTTTTTATTTTTTATTTATTTATTTTTCGGTAGACACATATTTTTGTTTGTATGTGGTTCTGAGGATCGAACCCGGGTCGCTCGCATGCCAGGCGAGCACGATACCGCTTGAGCCACATCCTCAGCCCCTGAACTGATATTTTAATGATCTTGTGTATCACTGGTTTTCTCGTATTAAAATAAAACAGTATTACTCTGATAAGAAGTAGAAAAAATAAAAAATAGAAAATAATTTGGCATAAATATTTTAAGTTTCAGGAAAGTAACAAGAAAAAACATTATGCTTAAAATGTAAAACATCAAACATTACAGAAGAATCACTATAAGATAATGATAATTTTGAAATGGAAGTAATAATTCATCTCTATTGTTTCCCATGTTATAAGAAAATTCAAGTAGGAAAAAGTGAATTGGAATAACCCATTCTCCTAGAATTTCATTGATTTATCTCACATCAGTATTAGAAAGCACTTTATACTTGACAAAATAAGAACATGTTTCTTTTAAAATACTTTCATATTATTCATTTTGCCCCAAAATAATATTATTTATGGCAAATAAATATATTACTTAAATTTTAATATCAAATTTTTCCTGTTGTTAAAATATGTTTTGAAACTTGGCCCTTCCTACTAAAACCATTGTCTACAGCTCAATAGGACTAATTTTAAGGAATTGCTGGAAACAGATGATAATARGTTCTAAGAAAACTGAAAATAAATCTAGATAAAAGAGAAAAAAATGAATCCATTAATATTTTTTCTTTGAAAGATTCCAAATATTCAGATACTCAGAAAAAACTGAGTCTGCCAAATTTTCACCATTACATGAATGCAACTATTAGATATCAGATTTCATACCAGTCTGGTGTGAAACATGCAAATATGAAGTTTCAGATTTAAGGCAAAGCTGACAGCTAYAGAAAATCAAGTCTAACTCAGAATATATACAGCTTCCAGGCCATTCCAATTGCTCAAAAAGATAAGCAAAAGCTTTTGTAATGTTGTAAAGGTGAAGAAATTGTGAAAAAGAGAGACTTAAAAATAAAGTGATTATCAAGAAAGATAAGAAGCAAGATTGCAAGAGGGAAGAGGAGGAAGAAGGAAAAGCACAGAAGCTGGGGTGCAGCTCAGTGGAAGTGCTCTTGCCTAGCATGCAGGAGGCCCCAGATTCCATCTCCAGCAACACACACACACACACACACACACACACACACACACACACACACGAAAGAACATTAGAATATGTTTTCTACAGAAAACACTAGGAAAAAACAGCCAATAAAGTATCCTGTTTCTTCATTTGTCCCTTCTTTTTTTTCCTACATGAACAAATATTTCCACAGACAGAAATTATATACATGTATATATTTCTAGGATGGCTTCAAAAACCAATGCACCAAAAAAACATGAAGTACAGGAAGAAAATTCTCAGAAACTGTTTTATTATTGGACTTTTGCATCTCACTTCATTCTCCACACTGCATTTCAAACTTGTTCCTTTCTTCAAGACACACTGATTTTATTTATGTATCTCTGCTCTGATTAAAAAGTAGATTACCAAAAAAAAAGCACAGCCATGCCAGACAGAACTATAAAGCCCTCCAGAAATACAAACTTATAGATATGGTACTTATACATAATAAAATATCACTTTATTTCCTAAACAAACTGTATGTATAACTCTATTAGATAAACTGAGAAAACCTGAGGTAGAAGAGAAATAAGTGGTTTGGGGATGCATACTTCTGCACAAATACATAATATCCATTTTATGAAAATACTTTACAAGTTGACTCTTGAAAACATAACTTTTCAGAAATGATGGAACACAGTACCTAGAAAATATCACTCACCTCTATGAGTCTATCTCCTGCCTTCAGTCTACCATCCTGAATGGCAGCCCCTCGGGGGAGGATGTTTTTCACATAAATTGGAGCCGAGCCACCTATTGTGACGTCTCGTGAAGTGATGCTGAATCCCAAACCTTCTGTACCTACACATGAAAGAAAATTTTAAAACTGAAATGAAGTATCTTGAATGTTACACATGTACACACTCATGTATACATATTTACATAAGGAGTTTTATTGTTCTCTACCTCATCTTAAAGATTTGTAATTTTCACAATGCCCAACATTTTTTCTAATACTTAAAAAGGTGTAATAATTTTTTTGAGGTAGACTACTATTATATTTTGTCACGTTAAATGACATTAAGGTTTAAATGCTTTACCTATCAAAAGTCACTCATCTAAAAAGAAATGGCAATCTTCTCAAAAACAGAGGAAGGTTTTAGCGTACAAATATGCTTGCTGAAAGCTTTCAAGTCCATCTTAAGTCTTTAAGTATCAAATAAATTAAATTGCTTTACAAGAACAAAAAAAAAAAAAACTTCTGTGAAAACCCATGGTAGTTAAATAATCAAATATTATTGTGCAAGAATGATATTAAGAATTGAAAAGTAAAAGGTAGAAGCAAAGGAGAAAAAGAAAATGTTCAGTGAGATGAGAATAATGAAATGAGAAATATTTCTAGATACATGTAACAGATTCTCCTCAAATTCCAAGAACAACCACAAGAACAGCTATTTACTAAGAGAATGAACTGTATTACTTTTSTCAATTGGAAGAGAACTTAACAAAAGATTATATAGTTACCACGTATATTCCCTGCTCGCCCACTCCCGGCCACCAAAGGCAAATTATTCACTGAATAATTCACCTCAGACCATGGCCACCAAATCTAAAGTTCACCCTATAATGCTGAAAGGTACTAAAATTAATGAGGCATTTATAATTTAGTTTCTTGATTTCTATAATTCTCACTTCTTTAGCAGACTTTTTTTAATTTTTTGGTTTTAATTAGTTACACATGACAGTACAATGATTTTGACATATCAGACATTTGAATCAAATGGGGTATAATTTCTCATTATTCTGAGTGTACAGGTTGCAGAATCACATTGGTCATACAGTCATGTATATACATACAGCAATACTAGTGTCTTGACAAACAATCTTATATAAGTTCCATACAGGGTCTAAAAACGCTGTATGTCACGAGAATGACCATGCAATAAGCCAAAATGTGGCAAGAAAAAAAATCCTTGAACATAATGACAAACTTCTAATCAATCAGAATTTATTATAATAAAATTTTTTATAAAATAAAAATGAGTAATATCTAAGTATTTTTAAAACCTTAATTCGTAGGATATTAGTTTCATTTTCATAATATTAGAGAAAAATACTTGCTCATTATGAGAGTACAGTGCTCTGTAAACTTAAAAAATCTAGAGTACATTAATTTAATGCAACATTCAGTACAAAATTATAATAAAACGTATAACATTAACTGTTATAATGATGAGCAAATAGAAATGTGAGTTAAAGAAGAACCAAAGCATCAATAAATACTTGATTATACCAGTAACAATACCCATCATAAGTATTCTATAGTTAAAACAAAATATTCATTTACTTCTAGTCTGAAACCACATTAATGTGCCTAGACTGTTAATGTTTTAAGTCTTCAGTGCAGAAGATTTGAATGGCATATTGTCTATAAGAAATTTTCCTAATTATTCTGTTGGGACGTTTCCATATGTCCCTGTGCTTTCATAGAACTCTTAATGACATGCAGTAACATTTATTAAGAAAGAATTCTAAATTATTCTCCTTTTGCAATATTAATTTGTATGAACTATAAAGACTGACTGTTATATGAACCTCAATACTATTAAAATATCAGCAATAACCCCTAAATCTGTAAGCTAAAAGTTCACACAATGACCTTTAAAAGAAAGATAAATAGATATCAATTTTCATTTAGCAAAGCCAACAAAACATTTTGAACTGACTGAAACAGATTACTGACCTTCTCCTTTGACTTTATTAAAAAGCTAATTTCTCCAAAAGAGCAGGGTATTTGAGAATGCCAAATGGCAATAAATATTAAGAAATCATAATTATGGAAGCAAGTACATTGGGGCTATTATATTTTGTCATGTTAAATGACATAGTTCCAAAATTATGCCAAAGAGGCATCATCCTGAAGGCTCCTCTTTGTAGAACTAAGAATACCAGTTTTTAAATAATCGCTGTCACATGAAGCATACTAATTCACAATTGAACTGATATTAAAGTTTCAAACTAATGCATACAATGTATATATTAATATACTTTCTTACAAATGTTTAAAATGTTAACGGTAACAATAACTGATAAAAACATTAATTACAATAAAATCTTGTTAAATTCTCATAAAATCACTATAATTAAATTGTCTTTATTTAGTCCTAATCAAAGGCAATCAGTATCCTTCTTCCTATTTATGTATGGTAAACATAACTTATGTTTATGTAGAATATTTTAAGAATTGGCAGTTGCATAGGCAGTATGCACTTTTTGTTATACGTTCTCACAGTAAATTAAAATCAGGAGAAATCTATGAGGCTCTATATCATTTAGATTACTCAAGGTCAGAAAAATATTTAAAAGCAAACCACCATTTCCATTTTTCTTATATTGATTAAGCATACCATTTCTAAATTAGCTGTGTAGATGCAATCATATCTTTCTAAATGCTATTAAAATAAAACTACTAATTCCAGCCAAATAGTTCTCTTACTAGCAAATAGAATTTCACTTCATTAATAAAGTGCATATTATAACCACAATTTGTTAAGCCTACTGATTGTGGGAAAACTATAATTAACTAAATGAATATTCCTCCATCAATCTAAAAGAAAAACCATATTTATTAAACTAATACCTTTATGGCAATGGCCAACTAAGATACTCTACCTTTGTGGAGAGATTTCAGGTAGACTTTTATTTTTATACAACTCTATTTGTAGTTCTTGATAAGTTCTTGGTTAAAAACTAGTGCCTGTGATTTAAGTAGAGAAAAAATGAGGAAAGAGGATCTGATATTTCTTTCATTTGGGAATTAACAGTTAGAGAGGGTTTCTGCTGATAGGCTCTGTATTTGCAAGTGGTGCAGGCAAGCTGTCAACTCCTGATCTTGTCAACCAAGTATTTGGAGCTTGAAAATCAGTAACCAGAAATAAGGAACTTGTGGTTCACAAAAAGTTCAAAGAAAGAATATGACTTAGAAAGGAAATAGCAGTTGCAGAGCTTAAAACCTTGTAAATGCTACCCCAAATAGAAAGAAGATTGTCTGAATGTCAGGATATGGAAAACATTTGAGTAGGAATCTTCTGCCAACAGCCATATGACATGAGGAAATTACTCTATGGATTAATTTCCATCAAAGTTCAGGAGTTGGGTGAGCCCATAAAAATATTTTTTATAATGACACTATTTCAAAAGACATGCTTTTAAAATATATCAAAATCCTCTAATATAATGTTACATGAACAGCCAAAGTATCTCAGTGCTCTGTTTACCAGTTGAAAACCAGAAAGTGGAGTCCAGCAGTCTGCTCTGAGCTGTAGAGGCAGCAAACTGGAACAGCACATTCCCTATATACATGGATCCACCATCTATGGGAAAGGGAGACTTAAATGACAGTGTACAAACACAATTAGCAATACCTTTCACCTTAGGAAAGGGAAGCAATGAGTGGGCTTTGTGGCACAGGACTGCAAGCTCCAAACCAGTTGGGCACCTAAGAGAGATCCTGACTCAAAAAAAGGGTTGGGGATATAGTTCAGTGGTTGATCACTTACCTAGCATGCAAGAGCCTGAGTTTAATTCCCAAGAAGGAAGGAAGGAAGGAAGGAAGGAAGGAAGAAGGAAGGAAGGAAGGAAGGAAGGAAGGAAGGAAGGAAGGAAGGAAGGAAGGAAGGGGAAGAGAGGGAAAGCAATGTAGTATTCTGGAAAAGCAAAAGACAAGAGACAAGACCTGACTTCTTGACAACCTACCACAAACAACTAACAGCCACAAACCAGTCACTCCCCATCTGGAACTGAAGTAGACAATCTCTAGAGGCCTCTTTGAGGGCCATATTTGCCAAAACAATCAAATTCTCACTTTGGTTTTGTTTGGGGGGTCATGCCCTGAAACATTTTCCACTCATTATCAAAAATTTTACTGCAATAGTACCTGATACCTTCTTCTCATAAACTTATATCATGAAGTCTTAATKTTTAAAATTTTACTTTTAATTTCTATATAGCATACGAATATGAAAAGCATAAAAATACAGCTTTTAATCCATTTAAAAAAATAAGGTTTTTGTTTTGTTTTTAATCTTTGTATATCAGTTCTTTCACATAGTACTAGGTTCAGATTCAAGGTGCTAGGCTGGGGATGTAGCTCCTTGTTATAACATTTTCTCAGCATATACAAGGCCTTGAGTTCTACCCGCAGCATTGGACAAAAATAACCAATCAACTCAAGATATTTGGATTAGTCAGTTGACTTTTAAAAGCAATTTCATAGAAAAATAAGATAGCTCATACCTTTCTTCAGCTGGATATTGAGCCTCTTGCCTACTTTTTTGGTGTTATAACCACTGCTYGCACTTGAGCTAAATACATTCTGTGGGGCTGGAGCTGGGGCTGAAGGTGGTTTTGCGGAGGGGTGTGCACTATGAGGTAGTYGTGGGTGAGCTTCTATCTGCTCAGGTGGGTGGCTCAGTCTGGGTGCTCTCTGCAGTGCATGAGGTCCAGCACTGTTCACACTCCTGTTATCAATATACTGGCTGTCGGGACTGAAGCGGCTTGAATAGTAATTGTTCTTCTCACTTTGGGAAAGTTGTTCATACTGCTCTTTATTTGCTGCAGGAACCACATGGAACCAAATGATGGGTGTACGCATGGCTTGGCGAAACATATGTTGTGCTCTGGGTTTGAGAAAGAATGGAAGATTAGCAAATTAAGACCAGCAGACTAGAAGATATTATGAGCTTAATTAAGTATACTAATTAAGCAATAAGAACTGACAGAGTGTTAAAACTGAAAAGCAAAATTCTGATAACCCATTTATTAACCAAGTTTGCAAGCTCTGATATAAGCAGAGCTATGTCTCCAAATATAAATTTGTCATTCTCTAAATAAAAATGGCAAAATTATCTATGATCATGGATAAAATAYAATAGAATGCTCTCAACTGTAAATTATTAAACAAGTTTTAAGAACAACAGGGACATTCTAATTTTAATATTAATAGAAATCAAATGCAGCCTTCTCCCTAGGAGACAATCTATACAAATTGTAAAATTTATTAAATATTTCCCTAACAAAGAAGCCCTTTGAGTTTTCAGAGAAATAAATTTATAAATAAACTTGGGAAACCATAGAAAGCAACTACCTATTCATCAGTTATCAGCAAAATTAATTCAAGATTGTCTATGCAAGAAAATCTCAAGAACAAGAATTACCACCACCACCACCCCTGAAAAAGTGGGGGGGATGTATAGCTCAGTGATAGACTCCTCGTCTAAAATGTTCAAAGCCATGGTTCTTCTTCACTATTCTTCTGCTCACACATGCCCCTTTAACAGGAACTGGCCAACTTTTTGTTTTTAATTGAATAAGGTCCTCAGTCAGGAAAAAGGAAATGAAGACACAATATTGTGGTTCAAGGAAGCTTTTGTTTTATTTATATATATATAATTAAGGCATATTATGTGCAACCATTGAAAATGTAAATTAAAGGATAATACAGATGAGCACATTGCTGAGTTTCTCAAAAGGTGAAGAAGCAACAGAACTGTATCACTGTATAACCTAAACTGGGCTCAGATTATTCCAAGACCAGCTCTATCCGTCAGAGGTCATTCTGAAATATAGTCTAATAGTGTTAATTACCTCGAGTTTGGTTAAATTGTTAAAAGTTAGATGGTGGCAGAAAACAGGTGCAGTACACAGAGAATCTCAGACATGTTTGGAGCTTTTCAACTGACTATACTCCATCATGCCTAAAGCAGAAAAGGACCACAGTGCAGCCACCACACACTTACTGTTCAAATCTTCTATTCCGCAGATCACCATCATTAATCCTGACAATGCAATCATTCTCATGAAAAAGGTTTTCTTGTTCAGCTTTACCACCTTTCTCCAATCGTTTTACTAATAAACCCAGGGTTCTGGAACATTAAAGATGCAAATTAYTACACATGTAATATTTCCACCATGCACAATGTCATATTACTTTAATGCTGATATCGTGTTTGAAAAACTCCCTTATAAAGGGTTGCACTAAGACATGATTAATACAAAGACAAAAATCAAAACAGTCAAAATGATGTGTAGAAATGCACCATTTCAATAAATACAAGAAATCGTTTTCTGGCTTATATTTCTGAAACAAGCTTCATACAATATAATCTTTATATTGTATGTTGAAAACTGCTTCAAACACAGCTTGCCTAATGGGTCGGAGGGTACCACAATGTGGAGCTAGATGAGCCCACATTTGTGCATGGCTTTCGTAGTTTTCTGTTTTAAGTCAGCTGATACACTGCTGATGGCAACCTCTGCCTTTCTGTTAAAAAAAAGATAACCAGGAACAGCTAACCTCATGGCACTAAAGGTTTCAGAAGGTAATAGGAAAGACTTTAGAAATAATAGATTCTCCATGCATGTCACTTRAATTTAATAGAATCTAATATTGTGAGTATCAGACCTGGTTAGGATTACCCAGTAAAGGAAGTAATTTGTTGCTAGTATTTCCACTTAAAGAGAAACAGAAAAAAGTCAGTAAGAGTTTCAAATAATGTCAGTCACTATTCGATGCTCTCAAATGTGCACTAAAACTTCAGATTAAAAGAAAAGTTTGAATGAACTTTCCAAGATGCAGATGGAGAAAAAAATAAAAATTATTAATATGCTTGCTCTAGGACAACTAACTTCTTAAATTACAGGACACTCAATATATCTCAGAATAAACAATAAACGCCTAAGATACAGAAGCAACAAGAATTTTAAACTAGTATGACTGCTATTTTTTATTTGGTAATTGGCATAAATTCTGTATCATGATTAAATACAGATTTTTAGGTGAACTTATTTTTGAGACTTTCTAAGTTTGCATTTTCTTTCATAATCCTCATTGAGGAGCAAAAAAAAATGATATTAGAATTCAGAATCCATATATTTTAAAGTTAAGACGTCATAATTTCCAGTAACTTCTATATATTTATCAACAGAATAACAATTTGCAGGATTACGTGTAGGCTTTCCACTAGAAATATACCCAAATAGTTACCTCCTTCTTCTATACTTAAGCAACAGGGATATCTTTCCTATGGCCCTTTATCTCATTCTCCTGTTATATATACAACTTATCTCTACTATTGCATTGCAAGCTACTAGAAGATCAAGAGATGGGATTCAGTAATATGCACTCAAGCACTTAGCTGGTAGTAAGGTCTGATAAATGACAACTGAATGAATGGATGATTGAGTTTAGCAGAGGCAAACAAGTCACATATTTCTAAYAAGCGTTTTGTAAAATAGAATGTTAGTGATCAGAATTCAGATTTAGTGCTGTTTTCACTTATACTACAGATGCCACAGAATGGAAAGCAATTGAAGCAAAAGTCTCATTTCACTTGTTATTCTGTAGTTTAACCTTGTTTTTTTCATGAGTATTTATAAAATCATCAAGTTCATTCTAGTGCTTATCATTAAAGATAATAAAAGCCATTATACTAAGATCAATTCTACCAATTTACAAGAATATTCAAAAGAGGTAATCCTCAAATTCTCTTTTGTAATTCACCAGTGAAGTATTAGCATTTATTTGTGTTAGAATCTAAAAATATTAATGACTAGTAAAAATAAATAAATAAATCATGTAGGTGATTTTAGTTACCTTCTACTACATTGGATTTAAAATTGTAAAAATTATCACAACTCAAAGGTAAGAATAAAGTACAATGATTTACCTGCATGAGCAACTTAACTGTCTCAGTCCATATAAGGAAAAGTGAGATTCCATACCATAGGACACCAAAAATTAAGATATTAAAATATCATCATACCACAATCTAGTCATCCCTATTTTTTAACTTGTTTCTATCTTCAATTGCAGTGTTCTCACAGAGGAATCAAAGAAATTAATAACATATATCTATAATTTTGATGAATGGAAAAGATCTATGTAAGAAATCAAATTAAATCAGATACTGATACCACTGGAACATGAAAAACTCACTTGGCCTCTTGACTTTCAAAGCAGACATGAAAAGAACATCTTAAAGGTAAAGAGGCCTCAACTCTCTATAGGTAATCATAACATAGCCACACATGTGATGCAGCACACCTGTTGCTAAAAGCCACCTCTACAGACTTAGAACACCTTTTAAAGTGCAGGAATACAGTCCCTGAAATAAAAATGTACCGCACCAAGATTGACTCCAGTTGATTAGTTTTAATTGAGAAAAATCATAAGTAATTTTCTTATATGTTTCCATTTCTATAATCAAAAGTGACTACTAATAAATATGTTTTTAAGTACTCCAAAATATTTTGAGTAACCCAAAATAACTTACATAAAATTTCTAGGGAAATATATTTTGACTATATTTAATGACACTTGTTTAGTATTTAACTACTAATTTCCTAAAATTTGTGAATTTATATTCAATAGATCCTTTCAGTATTTATAACACTTTAAAACAGTGTGAATGCCTGGTGCACTGGTGCATGTCCTCAGTCCCAGGTACATTGGAGGTTTAAGTAGGAGACTTACTTGCACCTAGGCATCCGAGACCAGCATGGAAAATATGGCAAGATAAAAATCCCTAAATAACATCCGAGACCAGCATGGAAAATATGGCAAGATAAAAATCCCTAAATAACAAACTGAATAAATAAAACCAGGAAACTTAGAAATCTGCATTTTATTTCTACAAGTGACATCAATGTTCTTTTCAAATAAATAGGTCAATGGTTTGTGTTTATCTAGATATTGTTTTCCTATTAGTCACTCTAGAATAATAATCCTAAAGTAAAAAAGCATGCCATGTTTTGTGTATAYAATAACTCTTTTCTTATATGGCCAAATGCATCACTAATCCAAATATAGAAAAGTGTTAAAAATCATAAATAAATACACTAGCACATTTCCAGGAAATATAATGGAAATTTATTAACCAAGACTTTAGAATCCAACATTATTATAATAGTTGCAAATAACTCAGAATCCTTTTACTCATCACTGGGGTTCATAGACATGATGGAGTGGGGAGGTGGCACAGGACAAAGAACTTCACCCTGAGTGACAGCAAATGATCAGGGAATCAAGGAACAGACTGAATTAAGGTGAAGTTAGTAGCCTGCTGATTTCTAAGTACTTGACCACACTATTAGAATCATTCTCTCAAAAAGAATGAATTAATTTAAAAAGTAAAGTGGTACAATCTGCAAAATTATCTCATTTGCTCCAATAGGTGAAAATGATTACAAAAGGAATAGAAATGAATGATGATTAAAAAAAAAAACTCACGAGAAAATTGAACAGATAACAGCTAGACTGAGAAGGAAAAKAACTTCTAAGGGGGAAATCAAATGGAAATAGCAATAACACACATTCAGCTTCCCATAAAATGTGTGGGGCAAGCATATAATATTTCTACTTCTATACCTATCACTTTAAACTTAAAGCTATATCAAAGGCACATTAAAAGCAAATTTTAGATATGTATTCTGCAAAATCAACCCAGCAACTGGTGTGTGTTCTAAAGCAGAGAATATTTACCATCTATGGTACAGCAGCTCCCACAACACTTTTATCATAGAGAGTCCCTGAAGTCAGCCAGGTTCTAAACCTTTGGGCATGTCTGCCCACTGGTAGAGAGAATTATTTTTGCTCTTGGTAGGTAGTGCCAGAGTTCCTTGTGGGGGCAACCATGTTCCATCAAAAGAAGAGACTACTGTATAAAAAGTAAAAAGGACTAGGCATGAGGCGTATGCCTATATAGCTCAGAAGGCTGAGGCAGGAGGATTGAAAGTTCAAAGCCAGTTTCAGTGACTTAGGGAGACCTTGTCTCAAAACAAAAAAATAAAAAGAGCTGGGATGTGGCTCAGTGGTTAAGTGCCCCAGGGTGCATTCCCTGGCGGATGGATGGAAGAAAGGAAGGAAGGAAGGAAGGAAGGAAGGAAGGAAGGAAGGAAGGAAGGAAGGAAGGAAGGAAGGAAGGAAGGAAGGAGGGAGGGAAGGAAGGAAATTAATTGTGTATTTATTAATGCAGCTGGTCACTTTCATAAAGAAATAACTATAGAGATTAGGGATAGTTTAAAAAAAAATCCTACCACAATTCCCCTATAAGTCCAATGTAAACCCTACTCAGTTTATATGCTTTTCAAGCAAATGGATTTTTTTTTTCTGGTTACTCTCAAACATTCCTCATATTCTACTGTTTCCTACATCTTTTTCCATTCCAAATACTTTTCCTAAGCAAACAAACAAAAATAAGCAATTGTATAGGCATTTCTTTCAAGTCTTTCCTCACAGTTCTTGAACAATTCTCTTTAAAAAGTCAAAGTAAAACTATAGTCACAGAAAGCAAGCATTGAAAGGCTGCCTCTTTGTACATGATTTTGGATGCATAATTAGAAATTTAACTGCTTAGATTATATTAAGGATTGCACCACTACATTTTTACAAGGTTCATTAGCCTAATTATACACTTAATTAAAATAAACTCAGTCACACATGGTAACATTTTCAAATCTAAGTATAAATTACAACCAATGATAAAACTGAAAATAAGTAACAAATGTTTTATTGACATCTAAATTGGCTGAGTAAGTCTGAGTTTTGCTTTGATAATGTAAACTCCCACAACTGCCACCCAGCTGTATGGAAATGATCATAATTCATCTTAATAAAAGCTGACACAGTGTAAACACCACAACTGTAGTGAAGGCAGAGTATGAATGGGCAGAACAGGATCCCATCAAAAGAAATCTGTCACCTCCCAGAGTGCTGGGGTGGGCGGAGGGTGGGCAGCATTACCTACATGATCCCTGAAACCACAGCCAATGACAGAGCCCACTGCAACTCAAAAAAGTTTAAAGACAACTAAAATTAAACAAACAAATAAAAAATCTTTGGACTGAGGGTGTAACTTCGTGGTTA